ACATCTTTCTTTTTTTTATCTTTTTTTTTTTTCCATTCTACCTTTTTCCTTTTATCCCTTAATCTGATGTTTTCTTGCCTTCACTGCTTCTGCCAGGTGTATCTGTAAATTGGATATCATCGCAATCCAACATCTAACTAGAGAATAAAGCTTTAGGGGAAAAGAAAGAAAGAATTTACAAAACATGTATGCTACATTAACCGAGAAAGAAATTGCTCATGTTCTATCCAGTGCAAATTCCAGCTCAGCACTCATATTTTATGGGACAAAAAAAGCAATTTGAAGAGATGCTGTCTTATAAGTAAAAACCAGACCCAAGTTTCTGTAGGGGATGGAGGGAAAGGAAGAAAAAAGACTGCTGTTCATGAACCTAAAGCCAGAAATAAACCAGACTCACTAAAGCTCATACTGGATGTGATGATATGACACACTTGCTACGTAGTCACACACTGAAATTGTGTGTCAGAGCTTTTGGATAAAAGGATGTGCTCACAGTGCTGTGACTGTGGCCAGCTGACACGTAGCTGCTCCTGCGGCCCTCCCAGAGATCTCGCCATGAGGACCACATGCAGTGCATGCCTTGCATGCAGCACTGGGAGGAGGAATGGCTCTGACGAAGCAGGAAGCCTTGCTGGAGAGGAATTTCTGCTACAAAGCAGGCTGAATTTGTAGAGACATCGTGTTTCTAACAGTGATGGGCTAACCTTAATAGGGCAGATGAATAGCATGTATTTCAAAGTAAGAAACCCTAACAAATCAAGAAGGAAGTTAGAAAGCTAACAAGTGAGTTTGCTGAGCAGTAGCAGAAGGGGTTTGGGAGCCATGGACCAATGACTCCCATCTGGCCCTGCACTAAGGCTGAGCTCAAGTGTCATAGGCACATCTCTCTCCCACACCATGAAGATAAGCCTGGCCTAGCAGCAGCGTCTGCTCATTTTAAGGGTTCTTGAAATATTTCCATTCCTTGTGTTGCTCCCAGCAAATCCAAGATACTCTTATCTGGTAAACTTTCTCACATTAGTTGAAATGACATATTGATCACCAGAGTTAAACCTAATGATACTTGTTGCTGCTAGCTGAATACAACAGCTACCCAACCTGGGCGCTGCAGGAACACAAACAACCCCTGCTCTTGCCTCAAGAACTACTTCTCCAGATTTAATATACAGAAATACAGAGAGCTAAATATTAAAGCTCAAGAGATTAATTCACTGATGTTACACTGAAACTGTACAGCAGGCAAAAATTAATTCTGCCTTCCCTGTCCTGACTTGTTGCACAGTGACTGCACACACTCTCTCCCTCCCCTACTGCCCCTTGCATGCTCCCGCAGGATAACAGCCTCTCCTTATCTGGTCATATCCCAGCCACGTGGCACTGGTGCCGGTAATTTAACACTCCCATTGCTGCTACATAGATACAAAACTTTTTATAAAGGTGTTTGGGCTGACCAACTCCCTTAGACCCCTTGAGCCAAGATTACAGAAACATCTATGGCGTTTTGGGGCTGAATAAAACTCTCCGCAGTTCAACTTGGGGCTGTGGTCCCCTGTGCTTCACAAGGCTGCTGACGGAGCCCAAGAGCGGTGTCCCAGCATTGTCATGTGTTTTAAGGGACAGACAGATCAGCTTTCTCAATCACCTAAAATAACAGACATGCATCATGCACATACACATTAAGCATCACTCAGTGTTTCCCCTAAGCTGGGACCTGTTTTGTCCATATTGCCTAATTCCTTCTCCCTAAAGATACCCACCCTTTACAAGCCCATCCCATGTGCTGCAGGCTACCAGGCCCCAGTGCAATCTGGCAATAAGTGCAGCACCAGCAGAGCTCTGATCCTGCCACCCTTTAAGACTCCAGCACTGCTTCTCTCTGCGCACCTAGGAGAGCTGCCTGAGGGTCAGGGTTTTTTTTTTGCTTGCTGAACAGCATACTGCACCCTTGCAAGGGAGTTTCATTAGTTAATTGAAAGAAATTTGATGATTACAGAAGATTCCATTAATAAATTAATATGTTCCATGAAGGGATCTCAAAACGTATCTATCAACATAAACTTCATTTCACATCAGCTAAGTGGGCAAGGCAAAAATCAGTAGGATCTCTTCTGCAGAGAGGAAAACCAAAGCCAAGAGCCCACTGCACGCCAGCAGCAGAAGTCAGGACCCCTCAACTCTCAGCCCCTTGCTCCAACTTCTGGCTGAGCTTTCTTCTGGTGACAAATCAATTGCATATGCGCTATATGAGAGGACAATGTTATATAAGTACAAAGTAGTAGGATTATGGGTGTGGGGGAGAAAGATCTCCTGGGGAGAGGGGACATTTTGCATCAATCACTCCCTCCCCCACAGCCACCCACCCACTGCAGGGATTTTTCAAAGCATTAAAGATGATATAGTTTGGTACATTTTAATCAGTTTCTTACCCCATAGAATTATGGTAGAAATATTGCTTAAAAAAAGTAGACACGCAGCAATTAGGGGCTGTGTAACCTGCAAAGGAGCTACACATATGTGACAGCATGTGCACTTCAGACACCACAGAAGAGACCATAGCTGCCGCCTGATGCCTCATTTCACCCTACTGGACAATAACTGCGTCAAGTACTAGGACTGCAATTAAAAAGTGACAGCAATTTGAGTGCAAAGTAGAGCAGAGAAGCCTGGGAAAGGGCTGCGGCAATAGGAGATGAGATACTGAGATACACATTTTGCCAGGGGAAGTAAGGAAAACCAAATTCTGTTCAAGAAGGAAGAAAGTGTGTTAAAAGTGGGCTAGAAGAATGATGCTCTAATCCTAGCTTGGCACTCTAGAAAAATCCTTGGTGCTAGAAGTCAAAGTTGTGAGCCAGATCTTCCTCAAAAGAACAGTGAAGATCTCTGTCCCTGTCCTCATTTTCCTCTCAAACCTTCAAGTATTTGTTTTCCCGTCCTGGCTCACAGACATGGAGAGAAGGGAAGGTGCTGAGGCAGCTCTCTGGGCCAGAAGCATCAGAGGAGGAAGGGAACAGCACCCTGGGACTACTGTCATCATGGTGGCTACGGCCAAGTCTGGCACAAAGTGGTGGCCTTTGGGCTACTGCTCATCTCTGCTTATGTTAGGGTTGTGCCTGAAGGCCTCATCCCTAGAGGGGAGAACACCAATAGTGTAGAAGAGGGCAAACAGATGCCGAAATGAGAGAGGGAAGTCTGGTCTGCTGCATGCTGTAGTAATCCCTTCTGGGCCATAAATCTATCATCTCTAATTTTAACAAACTGCCTGAATCTGACAGTCATGAAATATAATGTCATCTAGACTAGATGTTGAACCACAAAAATGTGTTTTGTCTCTCTTGTTCATTGAACAACCATAAGAATAAAAGAAATACCCTAACGGGCATCCAGACCCTCCATCCTGTCTCAGATCACCTAAGCGTGGCCACTTTCTGCTGCCTACTCCCTGCTTAGTCCACCAGGATGCACAGCTGTTGCTTAGGGATGCTTCTGCAGGTTATAAATCTGCAGAAGCTCACTCCCTGCTGTCTAGAGAGGTACACATTATTACCCTATGAAACCCATCCCCTACAAGCTTCATCAAGTGCACCTTAGCTCTAGTATTGTGCGATTTGGTGAATAACAGCTCTGTGTTCATTTTACCCCTGCCTCCACGCTGGCCTACCAGGAATGTTGGTATGGTGCCCAGGGAGGGCTTGTACAAGTTGGAGGACACACTCCCTAAACAGCAGCTGGAGTCAATGATGCAGGGCCAGGTAAGTGTTGTGAACAGGGATGGCTGTGGGCAGGGCAAGCCAAGCGCTTGTAAGGTGTTCCAGGACCCACCATGGAAAAGACTGCTGGGGAAAGATGCTTTGGAGGACACATGCTTGGTGTAAGGTCCTCCATGTGGATTCGTTCCCTTTAAGACATTCAACTGAGGTATTTATGGTGAAGACTAATATCACTAGGCTCCTCATCTTGTCAGTAGAAAGGCTCAGCCTATCCTTGAGAGCCATTTTGTCCATGTGAGATAACCTCAGGGTGTCTCCAATTCTGCTTGCTCACCTGAGCTGCTGTAGCATGGCTGCTTTATGCCTATATCCTCTGTGGGAAGTGCTGTGGGTGAGAAAGGACCCACCCAGCAAGAGACCAAGCTCCCAGCACCCCATCCCCTGCGCCAAATACACTGTGAGGGGAGGAAGCAGACTCAGTGTGAGAGACTGAACTGTAAAACATTTGTCTCAAAGATTGCTTGTCTAAGCGAAAAATCCTCTGGCTGCTTAATCTCTGCTGCTTAACCTCTGGTGCGATTGCCCACCGCCAAAACATCGAGAGACTTGGACCCTCGGGACACCGCAGATCCATGGTGGTGACTATCCTTGCAACTCTGTCCCGAATGCTTGCTTGACCTCTGTCTTTTTATTCTATTCTATCTTGTTGCTAATAATGTCTTTTTTTTTACTTGATAATAAAAGCTGCCTTGGGTATGCAGCATTTGACCTCATTTGTGTCTTAATCTTGCTCTCGGGATCATACCAAAACCTCTCCTGACATTGGATCGGGACATTAATTGGCGTCACGGAGAGGATCCCTTGAGATGAGAGTGCTGCATTGTTTCCCAAACATGTGAGACCTCTCAGGAAAGCAAGGGGTGCAGGTTTGTGTTTGAAATTTATGTGCTGCTTTCCTGAGACAACCACTTTCCCGCTTTATATAAGATGAATGATACTAGAAGTGCCCCTTTGGGGAGAGAAATTTTGTTTGAATTCTTGGAAAAACATAAAGCACGACCCTCTGTGCCCAGGGTAGACTGGGCTTGGGAAAATTGGTATAATTTGCAGAGTGCGGTTGATCGAACGAGCGCTTTGCAAAAGGATGCGAGAGTAAGATCAGGAAGGGGAAAATCGATTGTTTGTGCTGTTCTCGGCGCCAGTTTGGCCGCTGCTGTAGAGGCTAGGGAACGCTGTCACGTTGCGGAACCCCAAATGGTCGAATCCCTCCAAAAGCTTGTTCGGTCCCTGCAGGGGCAAGTGGCGGAATTAAAAAACAGCTTGAAGAAGAGAGAGACCAGGTGAAACATCTGCAGACTGCTCTTAAGGAGCAACTCCTTGCGGGCAATGCCCACAAGGAAATATCCCCAAGATCAGAAACTGGTTACCCGTCTGACGACTTACAGGCAGTGAGAGATGTTTATGATGATGATCAGGATCAGTTCCCCCAAGTCACAACTAAGGAGGTCCCCTATACCGCCACCGAGTTGGCAAAGTTAAAAAAGGATTTTGGCCGAACTCCTAGGGAGTTGAAGACAGAGTATGTGTGGAGAATATCGTTTCCTGGAGGGGATCAGATTTTGTTGAGTGAAAAGGAGGCGGAGGGGTCTGGGGACTGGGAATATTTTTAACTACTGGAAATCATCGCGCCCCTTGGTCTTTAACCCAGCGGGCAGCCTATTGGGCGGGGGGCTTGAGCCCCTTGGAGAGGGGGGATTCCCTCGCAATTATGGGGACTGTTGATCAATTGGTGGAAAGTGTGCAGAAGGCAGCTTGTTTGCAGATGATGTATGATCGAAAGTTGGAGCCTAGGCAGGAGTCCCCGATGATGATGTCGGTAGACCCCAAACGAATGACTCCCCTTATAAGGGGACTCCCCGATTCCCTGAAGCTGATTGGTATACAATTACAGGGGAAAATACAGGCAATACTTCAAGGCGAGGGAGTTGCGGCTGCTTTAGAAGGACTTACACCTGATCGGCACCGTTGGCCCCCGGATAGGAAAACGTGGACTGGGGGGGAGGTAGCCCAAGAATTGATTAATTATGGGCACAAGTACGGCCCTATCAACCTTCCAGCCACTAAAACAGACTCTAGGGGCCTGAGGCGAGCTGAAGTAAAAATGGTTCCGCACCCTGGGGGTGATAGAAGAACATCTCTTGCTAAAACACCTGGAGGGAGGGACATCCCAAATAAGCGTAATAGCTTGTGGACAAAGGGATGGCAAAAGGGGATCCCACGTGACTTAATGGACGGGTTGCCAACAGACAAGTTAGAAAAACTGGTGTCTGGATGGCCCAATAAGCCGACAGACGAAGAGGTGCGTTCCAAAAATATCACCCCTTGTGCGCCCTCTTTAATTGACTTGTTAGAGACAGTCCCCCGAAACTCAGTGGGAAACTAGATTCTTCGCCCTCCGATGGTGGGGGGGAGGGATGAAGGTTGGATATATATTAATTAGACAGCTCACTGAAAACGGCCGGGGTGATTTACTAATTACCGGTGTTGTGGGGCCGAAACAAGTCCCGATCACATTTTTGGTAGATACTGGGGCTCAGATTTCAGCTATTAAAATGAAAGATGCCACTAACTGTGGGGTTAAATTTTCTAAACAGAGGCTGTTTGTAGCAGATGCATTTGGCAACGTTCAGCCACAGGCGTTAGCAATGGTCAGCCTATGATTGCCAGGAGAGGATATTGCCACCACGGTAGCAATGGTTGTGGGAGAATTTCCGCTCAGCCTCCTGGGACTTGATGTTCTGAAAGGGAGGACTTGGATGGATAATCAAGGGAGACAGTGGTCGTTTGGTTCTCCAACAATAGATATCCGGCTGCTACAAACTGCGCCACCACTTCCCCCTTCAAAGCTTACGAATGTTAAGCCCTACCCGATACCCTTGGGGGCCAGAGAAGGAATAACGCCTGTGTTAGAGGATTTAAAAGAACGGGGCATCATGTTTCCGATCCACTCCCCCTTTAACTCTCCGGTGTGGCCAGTACGAAAACCCAATGGCAAGTGGAGATTGACTGTAGATTATCCTAGACTTAATGCAAATACCGGTACAGTGACAGCCGCAGTACCGAATATTGCTGAGCTTATAGCTACAATCCAGGAATGAGCCCATCCAATCATGGCAACGGTGGATGTTAAGGATATGTTTTTTACGGTCCCCCTACAACCTGAGGACCAAGACCATTTCGCCTTTACTTGGGAAGGTCAGCAATACACTTTCATCCGACTCCCACAGGGATACAAGCACTCTCCCACATTGGCCCCTCATGCGTTGGCACAGGAGTTGGAAGTAGTTCAGATAGGGGCGGGGTTAGCATCTACCAGTGTATCGATGATATTCTTGTGGGAGGAAATGAGGTAGATAGGGTTCGGACGGCTCAGGATAATATAATTTCCCATTTGGAAAATTTGGGGCTGAGGATTCCACCTGAGAAAATACAAACACCCTCGAGTGAAGTAAAGTTTTTAGGGATTTGGTGGAAGGGAGGAATGACATGTATTCCATTGGATACTCTCTCCTCGTTAGATCAGATTAAGATGCTAGAGTCAAAAAGGGATTTACAACATGTTTTACGGTTACTCGTGTTTTGGAGAAAACATATTCCTGATTTTTCAATTATTGCAAGACCCCTGTATGATTTGTTGTGAAAGGGGGCCCAGTGGGAGTGGACTGAGCCCCACGAGGAGGCATTGCAGTTGCTGGTATTTGAAGCAACTGCCCATCAAGCCCTGGGTCCCATTCATCCTACAGATCCTGTCCATATTGAAAGGGGATTTGCTAAGACCGGGCTATCAATACATTTATGGCAAAAGGGCCCTGAAGGATCCACTCAACCCATTGGGTTCTATTCTCACAGTTTTAAAGATGCTGAGAAGAGATACACGGCTTGGGAGAAGGGTTTGTCTGTAGTCAGTTTAGCCTTGAGAGAGGCTGAATGGACTATTCGACAACAACCAATAGTGCTCAGAGGCCCATTTAAGGTAATTAAAACAGTTTTGACAGGAGCTCTGCCCCCTGACGGAGTGGCCCAGAGAGCCTCTGTGTGGAAATGGTATGCCCAGATAGAACATTATTGCGACATTTTCACGGTATCTGGGGGCTGCAAAGATGTTAACCATTCAAGAGGAAACGGGCCCAGATAGGGAAATGAGTGAACTCCCTCCCATCATACAAGTAGCCCCTCCATTTTCCAGGCAGTTGCAGAATGTTTGGTTTACCAACGCTTCTTCTAAGCTGGAAGGAAAAACTTGGAAATATTGAGCCGTGGCACTCTGTGTGGATGTTAATGAACAAATAATTACTGAGGGGAAGGTAGTGCTCAAGTAGGGGAACTAATGGCAATATAGAGTGTTTTTCAACATGAGGCCCAGTCTGCTTCTCCTGCCTACATTTATACTGATTCCTATGCTGTATTTAAAGGTTGCACCAAATGGCTTCTGTTTTGGGAACAGAATGGGTGGGAGGTCAATAGGATACCCGTGTGGCAGAAGGAGAAATGGCAAGATATTCTGACTATTGCTAGGCAAGGAAAATTTGCAGTGGGCTGGGTGGCTTCCCACCAACAAGATGGTACTCCTGTGAGCCAGTGGAATGGTAAAGCCAACAAACTAGCCTGACTGGCTCCCCTGCAGAACGTTCAAGCAGCAGAAGATTGGGAACAATTGCTAGAATGGCTACATATGAAAAGAAAACACTCAGGGGCCAAGGACCTCTATTGTGAGGCCCAAGCCTGAGGTTGGCCAGTTACCAGGGAAGAACGTAAGACTTGCATGTCTGCCTGTGAACAATGTTGTACCCACTTAGAAAGACACCCCTTGGAGGATGACCCCCTGCATTTGAGGGAGGGGAAAGGGCTGTGGGAAGCCTGGCAGGTGGATTATATTGGCCCTTTCCGGAAATCAGAAGGAAAGCATTATGTGTTGGTTGGGGTAGAGAGAGCATCGGGGCTAGTCCAAGCCAAAGCAGTTGCTAGAGCAACAGGGGAGAATATGGTGAAATCTCTGAAGGGGTGGTTTGGCACCTTTCCCAAACCTCAGTCAATGCAATCAGATAATGGTTCCCACTTTACTGCCAGAATAGTCCAAGATTGGGCAGTCCAGGAGGGAATTTCGTGGGTATACCATACTCCATATTACCCGCAGGCAAATGGGATTGTGGAAAGAACAAATGGCTTGTTGAAGCGCTTCCTCAAACCGCACAAGCCAGGATGGACCGAACGGCTGTGGGATGCGGTGACTAGTGTTAACAGTCATTGGGGCATAAATGGATGCCCGAAAATTACCACATTTTGTCCAAAGGCCCCAACTATTATACCAGCCCCTTACGGCCCTGATCATCCTAAAGATCTGTTGCATTTTCCGGGCCAACCAGTTTTGGTTGAACTTCCCACTGTGGGAGCCGTACCCTTGGTACTGGAAACCCCAGCAAATAAGTATGCCTGGAAGGCAAAAGATGCTCACGGAAAGGAACACAAGATTAACACAAGATAGATTATTCCATCTTTCTAACGACAACCTGCCTCTGGTTCCTTAAAATGAACCAAATGCGCTTTCCTTTTCTTTTCCAGGTGGAGACTCTGAAGCCAGCCAGAAGGAACACATGAAGCTGTTGATTGCCTGAGTGGTGTTGTCGGTGATTGCTTTGTTAATATTCATAGGGTGTCTGGTATACTATCATAAACAATGTTTTGGTTGACCATTATCACTGTCTTTAGTATTTGGGGAAGCTCCTGCTCGCCCGCTTCTGACTCGTGGCAAAATGAATTTATTGTTTTAGGTCAACAGGTGGCTAATGCCTTTAATCTCACTAACTGTTGGGTATGTGGAGGACCATTTGGTCTAGAAAAATGGCCATGGACCTCTGTCCCCCTTTCTCCTAAATGGCTAGTGAGCAACTACAGCGAAGTCAGAAACGATACCTACTGGGAGGAAGACATCCCATCGCCCTGGACAATACAATACCCAACCAAAGGTGAATATTGCCTAAATCGAACACAGGCAGGTGGCGTTTTTGTAGGAAATAGCAAATGTAACTGGACCTATACGTATGGAGACCATTGCCTCATTGATGGCTGTAAGCCTCTCAATTGCTCACAACCTAGAAGTGAGTCGACATTTCTGATGCCAGGGCCACAGGGATATTGTGCATTGTTTCATTCCAGTAATGAATCTTTTGTACCTCGTTGGCTGGGATAGGCCTGGGGGAATGAGACCAGGCACTGGAGACTAGTCTCTTCTTTTTGGTCTCCAGTCAACCACACGAAAGTATACCTTACTGGTGACACTGCTAAGTACATCTGGCCCTACAACTCCGACATTGAATGCAATTGGAAAAGTAGGTTTGGTGCCTGATTGTGTAAAATAATAGATCTAGCTCGTAACAAAACTAAGAATTTATATAATTCTCTGGGAGTACATAATACAACATATTTCCAATCACCATGGACCTCCACAGGCTTGTTTGAAAATGGCACCTGGGCACTAAAAGGTCATTATTGGATCTGTGGGCATCATGCATACAAGCAATTGCCTGAAAATTGGACTGGGGTGTTGCCCTGGTTGTGGCAGGGATAGAGTTAATTTCCTTCCTAGTAGCTAGTACAGTGCTGTGTTGGATTTAGGATGAGAACAAAGTTGATAACGCACTGATGTTTTAGTTGTTGCTA